CACTAATGAAATTTTTGGTGTACTTGGGTAAATATGATAATATTCCGTTTGAGTGGTTCTAATGTTTACCATGAAATTACTCCTTAAAGTATAGTTTATAAACATTTATATTCAGGGTAAACTTAAAAAACGCAACTTACGGTATGTTTTCGATAAATAAACACCGACATCACCAGCCCAAACTATAACACACACGATTGTCGTGACGTATTTTTGAAGTTGTTTATTTTTTTAAATGACAGATCCAGGCATTAAAAACTTTATGGTTTGCTAGAGTAGTTACCGAAATAGCAATTAGTATTAGTTCTTTTACCTGTTATAACTTCGGTATCCGATAAATCGGTATAAAATCATCACCGGCACCTCTAGGTGTGGTATGCTTCCAGAGACGCATGAATCGCGTGAGCGGTTATTGTTGTGTTTGTGGTAAAACAATGAACACACCATACACGCCATAATGTGGACGGTTTGCTTGCATATTTGCCTATTTGGCTCCCCTGACCAGCGCGCGGTAACGCAAGTTTAGTGTTTGCTGTACTTGTCGAACAGGCAAATAAGGCAAATTCTTCGTCACACATGCTATTTACACATAGTGACTGTTTGCCAAATATACCAAATACACAAATACAAGTAGCAAAGTGAAATGCCACTACTACATGAAAATTGTGACGCCGCCGCTGTCGTGCTTAGTACGCCGTAATAAATAAACTCATAATATAACGAAAGCCGATTTCGTTGCGATATTACGCCCGTGCAACCTTGACTCCAATAACTTTATTTTTGTATCTTTTTTCGGCTAAGTACATATTAACGTCAAATTGGGAATGTATTATTTTATGAAAGCTTTTTTATTTTCGGGTAATAGAGTGTGTTCAAAGTTTGGTGTAGAAGCTTTCCTAACACGGCTAAACTTGGTATTAGGAAAGTTTCCTTTCCTTTTATTAGTCAGGTCAATGCCGATATTATTTCTAGGCCAAAGTCGTATTACAGTTACTGCTAGACACTGGTTTTATTAGAAAAATACTTGCTTAAGTTCCTGCCTATCTATAGGCAGGTCATGGTCGTTACAGAAATATCTGTAAAATTGAAGAAAGTTGTCAAAGAAACCAGTTGATGTTAAATCGTGAGAAATAGTTTCGCTTGCTTTTTTTATAATATCAAATGATGGGACTAACAAGTTGTCCGCCTGGCGGTAAGCAACACGCCTATCCATAACAGTTACAGTGCCACTCAGAGCAAAAAAAAGATCTTAGGGGCACTGCCACTGTGCCC